ACCCACATGGGATCTTCTCGAACCTTTGAAAAGAAAATTGGAAAAAACAACCAGCCACCCCATGGCCCCGTCCCTGCAGCCCAGGTACTTCCAAGCCTAGCCCTGCCTGATATGTGGCAGACATAAGCCTGGGCCACACGGGCAGGCCACAGCATAGGCAGGAGACAGTCAAGCCTTCTCCCTGAGGCGCCGGGTGGCATTGCTGTCCGTTTGGCACCATTATCTTGATGGACAGTAGCTTTGAATCAATGCCTGGTGACAGCAGTCCTGGTTCCTGAAGAGGTCGCGTGAGCCCAGCTTCGGCCCCCGCCTGGCGGAGTGCCACTCGGGCTGCAGACACGGGTGCTGGTGCCACGTGGGGCCAGCCCCGGGGAAGGTCACTTCTCTCTACAGCTGCAGGAGCATCAGTCCCACCTGATGCCTGATCCACAGGGCCATGATCCGGAATGTTCTGGCACCAACGGGATTCTCAAAGCCTGACAGTTTTATCTGGGTGAGAACTCAGGAGTGCATTTTGAAAGGCATGGTCACATGGCTCTAAGTGACCTCTGAGCAATGCCTGGCCCTCCTGGGGTTCCTGCCTTAGTGGGTCTGGGTGGGGCAGCCCTGGCACAAGTATATTTCCAAAGGGCCCCTTGGGTGATTCTTATGTGAGCCCAGCTGGGTGGCCCTGACCTAGAGCACTAGGGTTCAACAGGGCACAGTTTGGGGGATGAAATCCTGTTTCTAATAAAACAGCAGAAACCATGGGGATGTCACTTGGCTGTGCTCAGAGCCCTTGTCAGGAACACACTGGCTGTGTGTCCCCAAGGGGCCCACTCCCCTTTATCTGCCCCATCCATCTGGACGGCCATGTTTTTAATAAAAATAGGGTGTGGCGTCACATGCATGGCCCCTGTGTGCTGAGGGGTCTGTGATCTTTCTTGGCATCGCTGCAGCATCTCCTCTGAGGGAAGTGAATCGATCACACCGTGCATCTGTGTTTACACCGGCCGGTGGAGCCGTAATTACACCCTCAGTGCATGACGCAGCCTGCAGGAGACCCGAATGGGGCAGTGGCCCAAGACCTGTGCTGGGGCAGCTGCAGCTGGACAATGTGCACGAAGATGAGCGTTGAGCGCTGGACTCTCGAGCCCAGGAGACGCTGCAGCAGATGTTCTGGGATGATGCAACAGGACTGTGAAGAGGGAGGGATGGACTTCTGGAACTCACTGTTGGGCTCTCAGCTTGCGCGGCCTTGTAGAGGACACATGCTTACTCGCAGGAGACTTTCTGCAGCCAGGAGTCCAGGGGCAGGTATCCCAGAACTCAGCGCTGGCGGAGGCAGCAGCTCTCCATCCCCACAGCCAAGGGGATGGAGCCACTGTAACATGTCCCCAGGACTCTGGCCAAAGTCACAGAGATTAGAAAGAGCAGGATGTGGGGGGAGGTAAAGGAGAATCTGGTCTGGGACCCAAGATGAGTGCACTGACCAGGAGCCCGCTGCCTGGTGAATGCCCATCACGTGCTAGGATGGGATGTCTGCCCAGTTCAATGGTGGAAGCAGCGACGGACCCTTTTGGGGTCTCTCCCTCAGGCTTGGTATTAGAGCAGAGGTCTGACGCTGGGGTGGCGCAGCTCTCCACGGAGACAATGGCCTTGCAGAGTCCTCCGGAGCAGCTGTATAAACTCAGCGTGGGAGGAGGTAAGGTGCTCACATCCTCAATCCTTTCCCAAGAGGATGAAGGGAAACAAATAGAACTTTGGAGCTCAGTCCCTATCATGGCACCTCGCAATCCCATGGGGCACACCTCCCATGAGCCACCCCCCAAAATGACTGACACGCCCAGCCCGGTGCCGCAGCCTGAGAGAGAGCCGGATACCTGCCATGAGTCTGTGCCCTGTGGTCCCCCAAAACCTGAGACCTCACACTGCCTGCCAGGGGTCTGGACACGCCACAGCTGGGCCAGCTGGCCATTTGTCCTCTCTGCCTAGACAGCTGAGGCCTGACTCCTGAAGGGGCAACAGACCAGGCCTTGGAGAAGAGCCACAGCTCTGGGGTTCTCCTGCTCTATCCTGGCATGGTGTGAGGCTGGAGAGGACAACGCTGGGGACATGCCCGGACCAGGGGCTCCCAGGGCCTTCTGGGGACGGAAAGCAAATACATGGGCTGGTCTTCTGGAATAATGTTCACAGCTGCAGGCTGGCAGTAAGGCGCTTTGAGGTCCAGCCCTGGCCCTCCCCTGCCCAGTGTTTCTGCGCCGCCGCCACCCACCACTGTCCACCCAGGCAGCAGATCCCGGCACTGGGTCTAGGCCTAGCTGTTTGGCCTGAGGCTGTTGGGAGCTATGCCTGAGCCCTGAGGCTACCTCCACTTTTCCCTGCCTGGGCGCTGGGTGCCCTGGCTGGGATGGAATTCAGACCCGCTGCCAGGCCAAGTCCAGAGAGCTGGTCCTTGTCCTGATGCACCATGAGACTGGAGCCAAATGCACTGTGAACAATCAAGGGCATTTCGAGGCCACTGGTTCAATGGTCAATGTAAGGATCTTTCCAGATCTGATTTTCCACATGCACCAGTAGCCAAACTTTCTTCAATTATTTTTTTAGGTAGTATGAAAACTTGCTTTTTATTAGTGCTTTTCAAAGCCAGCTTCAGATTACCCGAACAGAAAGCCAGTCCGTGTAGCCCGATGGATGCTTGGAGGGTCCTCAAAGGCCTTGTTGAGTGTTGTCCTGAGAGGAACCCACTGGTTCACTACAGCAAAAGCAGTGACTAATGAACGCCCTGCAGCCCCAGAGTGGGTCTCGGTCACCTTGGTGGCCATGAAGTCAGAGCAGACCTCATTCCTCCTGAGGCTGGGCCCTCTGAGCTGCCTCAGCAACCAGACCTGTGTTCTCCATCGGAAAGCGGGGCAGGGGCCACTGGCTGGGCATCCTCAGACAACAAGGGAAGGTCCAGCAGAAGGTGGTGCCCATGCTGGTGGACGCTCAAGCTTCTACTTGGAGCTTCCTCCCACTGGCTTGAGACCACAGGGCCATGTGCCCTGATGGGGTGTGGAGCGGGCACAGTACAGAATGCCCGGCGGCAGAAGGCCTCCGCTGGCCAGGGTCTATATCCAGCCAACTCTGCATAGCTTATGGATAAACTGTGGTACATCCAGACAATGGAATATCATTCAGCAATGAAAAGAAAAGAGCTCTCAAGCCACAAAAAGACAAGAGGAACCTCAAACGCATATTACTACATAAACAAGCCAGCCTGAAAGGCTACATTCTGGACGATTCTAACTATATAATGCTCTGGAAAAACAAAACTATGGACACGGTAAATAGATCAGTGGTTGCCAGGGGTTGGGGAGCAGGAGAAGAATGAATCTAGAGAGAATAGAGGATTTTCAGGGCAATGACATTGCTCTCTGTATGATGCTAAATGGTGGATATATGACATTCTGCATCTTTCCAAACCCGCAGAAAGTACATCCAGAGTGAACAGCAGCCTAAACTATGAGCTTCAGTTACTAATAAAGTATCAATCCTGGCTCTTCAGTTGTAACAAGTATATCATAAGATGTTTATGATGAGAAAACTGTGTATGAGGGGAGAAGGGGAGAAGGGAATCCTCTATACTCTCTGCTCAGTTTTTTGTAAATAAAACTGTTCTAAAAATAGTCTATTAATTAAAAAAAAATAGAGCTAAAATACTGGGGCAGTGAAAGCAGGTGAGTAGGTAGGGGCAGAGACGGTGAAAGCATCCTAAGGCTTTAGGGCCATCACAGTGGCAAAGACGCAGATTAAATTTAGACTTTCAGTTAACTAAGCATGTACTCACTTGAAAGAAATACAGTGTATAACTTACTAAGTAGGAGAGGAAAATAATGGAATGAGAAAAACCTCAAAAGAAAGCTAAAAGGGACAAAAAGAAGACAATAAATAGGTAGAAATAAAGATACCAGTTGCGATGTGTGGACCTGCCGTGCAGAGGAGAACGAGCATCAGCCTCGGTTTGGGAAGAACCCTGCTCTGTGCCGTTATAAGCACTGCACTGGGCACAAGGACGCAGGCAAGAAAGAGAAGGTCACAAATGCAGACTTTGCAGATATGAGAATATTATGACTATTTTTTGGCTACTAAATTTGAAAACAGACAAAATGGACAAATTCCCAGGAAAATGTTAGCCACTTAAGCTGCCTTTAGAAAAAAATGAAAACGTTGCACGTCTGACAGCCACCAAAGGCATTAGTCAGCGGTCGCAGACACCCCGAGAGGCCGGGGGCTTGCGCAGGAACACTGTCCCTGCCCTCATGAACTCATTCAGAGAAGGGGGCCAGCCCTCAAGGAGCCCAGTGAGGGCGGCAGTAAAACCTGAGCAGAACCAGGTAAGGCCAGTGCAAGATGGAAAATTGCAGACAAATCTCATTCACCAACAACCACGCAGAATCCAAAACAAAGTATTAGCGAGTCATACCCAGTAACATATTAATACACACAGCATGACCAAGTTGAGTTTATCTTAGGAAGGGAAAATTGGTTCAACATTAGCAGTATTACTGCAGTTCACCACATTGACAGCTTAAAGAGGGGAAAAGAGACCCTGTCACGACAGGTGGGATGTTAAATTTCAACATCCACTCATGACTAAAAATACCCAAAACAAAAATCACAAAACAAAACTTCCTAGTAAACTAGAAATAGAAGAGAACTTGATAAAGGCAGCCACCAAAACGAACCACCCAGACAACCCACAGTGGCATCTCACCGGGCCAGGGAGTGTCTCCTCTGGAAGCAGGGGAGGCCCCAGCCCTGCCGCTTGCTGCGTCCACGGCCCCACACGGCGCACAGCCCCAGCACCGAAGAAAACGAGCACAGCCAGCGAAGCCACCAGGGCACCGCCATTACAGCATGTAAGTTACTCTCAATAAAGATAAACAATAAGCGGGGCACAGAAAATTTAAATCCAAACAGTGTTTTTCTCAGTAACGGACAAACGATGCTCATATTCACTGGGGCCTGCAGTGACTCACCTGGAACAGGATCTGTAAGGCGCCTTGAAGGACACACATCCGCCGCCCGAGGAAGATGAAGAAGGGCACCACGAGCTCCAGGAAATGGTTGCTAAGTGTCTCGAAGCGATGGACCCACCACGGGGAGTGGTGCAGGAAGTAGGCCATGGGGTTGGGCACCGGCTGCGTCTGCGGGACAGGAGGAGACCTGTGAGCTGTGTCCGAAGCCCCGCCTCATAGGGGGCCCTAGCCGGCCTGTACTGCCTGCGTGCTGCGCTGGCCAGCTCAGGATGGTGAGGGGACTTCTGGGGGAAGGTAGACCTGGGACTGCCCTGGTTGGAAAGGCGTGGGGGAGACCGGTGCCATGGCCCTTCCTCCAGCAGCTCACGTGCTATGAATCGCTAGGACAGGGATGATGGGAGCATGCGTTTAGGTCATTTAGGGGTGCACACCAGAGCACCCTCCCCTGCCTGGTTTCCTGTAATTCTGACACAGACCCATTCAGGGGCCCCAAAAGTCCTGGTCACATGGGAGCTCAGACGCTGGGGAAGAGCTTGTGGTCAGAGCCCAGAGCAGCTCTGGGCCCTGGAGAGCCCCATGCGGAGGACAGGGTGCCGTGGTCGTGGGCGGGGGGGGGGGGGGCGGCGTGGAACTGTAGGAGCCTATCTCAGGCGCAGGTTTACATGCGAGTGATGTCTGCTTGCAGGACAATGAAGGCTGGGGGAACAAGGTCCCGGCCCTGAGTGTGTGTTCTTGGGAACACACGTGTTCAAAGTGGGCGGATGCAATGCATCCCAGGGGGCCCGAGTGTTGACTCAGCCGTGGCGCTGGCCACCCCGGGGCCCACCCGACAGACCCTGCACCTTTGACCACAAGGCCCTGTGCTTCCCTGGTGCCCCATCCTGAGGCTGAGGCTGGGAGCAGACCACGCAGAAGGCCACATGGCCACCGACTCAGACGGGCCAACTGTGCCGACGCGGTGTGGGGCTGGGTACATTCTTACCCATAAGGCTCTGAACATGCCTTGAACTGGGCTTCACTGCCCCATCAGGGAGGCCCCAGTGTGACATTCAGCCAGCGGTGAAGGGCATGGGTCTCATGGTGCACAGGGTCCCCTCCATGTTGACAGGACACCAGCCACTGGAGGCTCCAGACCCAGGTGGACCTGCCACACCACCTCTAATGTGAACTGGCTCCCTTTCCTGTGTGTGGAGGGTACGGTGATTCCTGAAGGGTGTGGCAGTCTGTTGTGCGGAGCTCCCCGCCCCTCCCCAAGGCCTGGCCCTCCAGCCTCCTCGTGCTTCCGAGCACACACAGATGCCCTTCTCCCTCCCGGGGACTTACGTTCTCCACGTACACACGTGCCGACACCAAGGCGGCTGCGTGGCCAACAACAGCCACTTTCAGGGCAAGGCTGGGCCAAGAGACAAATGGGTAATCGCTGCTGTGCTAGCATGGCTCCAATAACATTAAATAGACTTGACCTTGTCACACATGGTTTAGATCCCAGAGGAAGAAAGTGCCTCTTGCAGCAGCCACTGGAGTGCTGACCCTAGCCCCTTGTGACCTGCTCCCCAGTCACTCAGTGTCTCCCCCACCTGCTCCTTTGCCACATGGACCCCGGACCCCAGCACTGGGCATGGTTGCAATCTGGCTCTCCACCTCTGCTCTGGCCACGCTTCCTCTCAGGTTTGCTGTGGACACAGGGAAGTGCCTGGTCTATTGTGTGATGGGCACAGAGGAGTGACTACTGAATACGAGACACTGGTCAAAGCGCAACAACCTGGGTGCCCTGAAGAGTATGGGCCCTCTCGCCTGACACCCAGGGCGGCAGGGATGAACGAGCAGCAGTGGTAAGAAGCCATGGAAGTGGCACGGCTCCCGGCTGCCTGGCCGCCCCGCAGCACAAGAGTCGGGAGGCAGCTGTGGAAGGCGATTTCCTGCTAACTTTTCATTTCATTTGGACATGATTTCTGACAGAGAAAAGTTACACGAATAGTAAAGAAGATCCCTGAACTCCCCAAATGTTTCCATGTTACCACCCCCTTCCTCCTTCTCTTACCATACGTGTCTTCTCTACCATTTGAGTCAGCTGAAACATGACACCCAGCACCCTAAGGACTTCAGTGTGAATTTCTCAAAAGATGGGTGTTCTCTCATGTGCATGGCAGCAATCACAACTCGGGACCAAGGCCAGTTGGCTGAATTATGCCTTTTAAACAAAAGGAAATCCCAGGTTACACATTGCCTTCACCTCGCATGTCTCTCTGGTCCCGAGCGGTAGGGCACTGGCATTTTGGAGCACACGCTCATTTGCAGGACACACCTCAGTCTGGGTGTGTCTGATGTTCTTCATGGTAGGCTGGGCACCCACTTCTGGCAGGAAGACCCCAGGGGTGACAGATGCCCTTTCTTGGGGTCCAGGGTGTCAATGTGTCCTAGCACAGGTGGTTTCCACCTGGGTTTTTTGGTTAAGAGATGTCGGCCAGGGTCCTCCCCTGCAAAGCTGCTCTTCTCTCCTTTGCAGTTTCAGGCTATGAAAATAACCTGTTACATCCAAACGTCCTGTTTTCAGCACCTTCTGATGATTCTTGCGAGAGTCAATTGTTCCAATGGCATTTGAACAGCAAGTTCTGGGTCCGTTATTCCTTCCCTATGGTGTTCCACTGTAGGGAGAGGCTGTTGTGCCACTCCGTGAATTTACTGGTGCCAGTGTGGACATGTGGGTTATAATCATGAATCATGTGTTTTGACAGCACATACCACTTGCTGAACATTTCCCTAATTTCCGGCACTACACATGCTCCAGGGTCACCGTAACACCTGCTTGCCTAGCCCTGGGCACAGCAGTTCTCCCAGTAGCTGGGTCCTTCTGACTGAGGCCGAACTCAGCCCGGCCTGGGCATCGTTGTCTCTGGGCTGCTCAGCAGGCAGAGCTGGGAACCGGACGTGTCACTACGTCTTACCTGGCTCTGCATACCCGTACCAATCTAGCCCATCAATCTCTGCATTTAACTGTATTCTGAGTGCGTTTCTGCAGCTTTGGGGAACACACAGCAGGCCTCTCCCAGTCTGCCCCAGGGGCTCCCAGAAACTAATACTTATTTCCACTTGTGAATGTGGAGGGAGGGTAAGATGGAGAAGCAGGCCCTTCTCTGGAACGGGGTACACGGCTGCGGGGGTGGGGAGAAACAGGAGTGGTGGGCAAGCAGACCTGTCAGGGGCGTTTCTGCTCATGTGCCTGGGCTTTGTGACCACAGATTCGCCACGTGCCAGGTAACACCCGAGGAGAGTGAAACCCCCTTGGTCCTCAAGTTGCAGAGATTCTGGTGGTTAACAGCAGTTTCACTCAACAACAGAAAAAGGCATCAAAATCAGTTTCAAATGTTTCAGTTTAAAAAAAAAAACAAAACTAGCAGAGTTGCCCTGGCCAGTGTGGCTCAGTTGGTTGGAGCATCGTCCCGTAACTGAATGGTTGCGGGTTCGATTCCCGGTCGGGGCACATACCTAGGTTGTGAGTTTGGTCCCTGGTCTGGACACGTATGATTCCTGGTCCGAGCATGTGGGATCCCTGGTCGGGGTGCGTGTGGGAGGCAACCAATCGATGCTGCTCTCTTGCATCAATGTTTCTCTCTCCCTTCCTCTTTCTCTACAAAGCAATGAAAAAATGTCCTTGGGTGAGGATAAAAAAATTTATAAATAAAATAAAAACAGCAGAGCTCTGATTCAGTATGTGTGTATACAAGTGTGTATACATGTGTGTGAGTGTGCAAGCCCATCCTCAAGGTGCCTGTGGCCCCTGCAAAGGAATGTGCACCAGGTGCCCAGCACCTGGGCTGGAGCCGTGCTGACGGGGCCAGGCAACTGCAAGGTGTGCGTGCTTGCGCGGCAGGCTGGGGGCAGGCCTCCCCGCAGGAGCCCATCCGGAGAGGAGACCCTCTCCTGATACATAGGCTTGCTTCCTGCTGGGAACACCAGGGAGAATGCTCAAACAGGCAAACAGGCCAGGACAACCCCTCCTTGTTTCCCTCAAGTCAGGATGAGCCCCCCAGTTACATGTGAGGGCCCAGTTTCAGAAAGCGGCCTGACCACAGACCAACTCTCAGTGGCACATGCAGGTAAGGGCAGCAGGACGCTCGGCCCTGCTTTGGGCAGGAGGACAGCGGACCCTGCGCACGTCTTCACTGGGTCCTGCTTTTACCAACAGTCTCAGGCAGTTGATAAAAACAAGTTTTAAAAGACGGCCGTGTCCTGTCCACGGTGAGGGGAGGCCGAAACGGGAGCCCCTTGCCCACTCTGGCTGTCCTGGGGGCTCCTGTCATCGGCACAGACTCTCCTGTCCACAGCCACTAGGCATACTGAGATGGGGGAGGCCTAGGGCCGTCTGCACCCCCAACCCCACCCCATAAGCAAAGGAAGGCGCTGTTAAAGCAGGCGGGATGGCATGGCGATGCATTCACGGCTGTGTTAGCGTCATCGCCGGCTCCGGGCTGAGCTGGCCCTGATCAACTTATCTGGGCGGAGTGGATACCCCGAGTCCCACCCATGGGGATGTCGCCAGCCCAGATTTGGGTCCGAGGACCTTCTTTTCTGAATACCCAGACCTCTTGTTGGAAAGGACCCCATCTTCCTAGGCTAGAGAGACGAAACTTTATAAATCCAGTTTAGGACTGGCCTGAGAGTAGGCATTCCCCACCCGAGGGCAGGGAGCTTTGCTGGCTTGGAGATAGGGCCATACGACAAGGATGTGGGGGCCTGGGGCTCAGTGGCCCCAGCTTCCAGCTGGCAGGGAAACACAGGCTTTGCACAGAGACGTCCCTGCCAGTCCTGCTGGCCTCCTCAGTCCTGGAGACGCCCAGGGGACAGCCATGGGCAGGCTGGGGCCTGGGTGCCATCCAACTCAGTGCTGGACCCAGAGGGGGTGGGCGGATGTGCATGGGGCCTGAGGTTTTTGCTCGGCCCAGCCGCCCAACCTGGCACCCAGGTATGGCTGACATTCAGGTGAGCTGGAAGGCGAAGGCCCTCTCCTACAGGTGGCAGGCACACAGCCAGGGCTCCCTGGGCACCTGCTCAGAGACAAGCGAGCACAGTGCATGTCCCCTGGACCCCTGGATGCAGCCTCCCCATTCACTGTCACCTGATTCTGACTGTCCTTGGGATCCTGGGATAAGATAGCCCTGTGTCCCTTG